AGGGTGTAAATCTTTACGGGAGTAGAAAGCCTCATCTTTCTCCCGCGGAGTGGCTGGTAGTTTCGAACCGCTGACCTTAAGGTTCGCAGCCCGATTCGTAACCACTACGCTACCAGAGCTCCTTCCCTAGACACTTCAAATTAGCTGTTTCCTCCACAGTATCCGAGAACCTCAACACACACGTTAATTTTGCTTTTGAAGAAGTTACCTCCCCTCAATGCTAGGGCACCTGGGATCCTGAGCTGACCAGGAATGTGGGGCTCCTAAGAGGTCATTCGCTCCCTAGTGTCCTGCCTGTTTCTTGCTCAGGTCACTTGGCCATTTTTAGCCAACCAGACCCTGGTGTTTTTCTCTGGCCCCAATTCATGCAATCAGTTCATGTGCTTGGCTGCTCACCCAGAGACCCTTGGAAGAAAGGCCTGCTAATCTGCTTCGGAAATACAACAGGGCAAAGTTCTACTCAGACACATGGGGGCACCGTGAGTCAGTCAACTCAAAGCAACTGTTATGTTGCACTTTGGCTTTTTTGTCTATATATTTATGTATAAGAAGGCTTCAGAACGTTTCTGGGAAAATTCCTTTAACTTTTAATTCGATTTATCCACAAATTTTTGAAGCTCCTCTTGTATTTATTGTCTAAATACATCTATCTCAGGGAGCCCTACATTAGGTAAATCTACTGCACAAGACCTCTTTAAAGTGTTGAAGAGCAAAGATGTCAGCTAGAGGACTAAGGTGAGCCTGACCCAAGCCATGGTATTTTCAGTAACCTCATATGGATGCGAAAGCTGGACAGTGAATAAGGAAGATCGTAGAAGAATTGATGCCTTTGAGTTAGTGTGTTGGAGGAGAATATTGAAAGTGCCATGGGCTGCCAAAAGAACCAAAAGATCTATGTTGGAAGAAGTGCAGCCAGAGTGCTCCTTGGAGGCCAGGATGGCCAAACTTCGTCTCTCATACTTTGGACATACTGTCAGGAGGGACCAGTCTCTGGAGAAGGAGATCATGTTTGGTAAGGTGGAGGGTCAGAGAAAAAGAGGAAGACCCCCAGCGAGATGGATTGGCAAAGTGGCAGCATCAATGAACTCAAGCGTGGCGACAGCTGTGAAGTTGCCCCAGGACTGGGCAGTGTTTCATTCTGTTGTGCATAAGGTCGCTATGAGTCGGTACCGACTCGATGGCACCTAACAACGACAACATAAGTCAAACGTTCACTTAGACCTTGAGTTTAGAAGAGTAAGTTTTTCTTTTTCTAATTCCTTAGCACGGTGGCTCCATGCAATAAGCACTAGACTGTGAACCACAAGATTAGTGGTTCAAGTCCGCCAGCCGCTCCACAAGAGAAAGATGAGGCTTTCTGCACCCGTGAAGATTTAAAGTGTCAGAAACACTATATAAGGTCACTGTGAGTTGGAACCTACTTGGCAGCACTTAACAATGGCAACCCTACAATAAATTTACCAATAAATCCCCAAAATAGAATGAAATTGTATTACCATCCAGTACCATCGAGCCAGTTCTGACTCACAGCAGCCATGTAGATGGTTTCCAAGGAGTGGCTGGTGGGTTTGAACTACCAGCATTATAGTTAGACTGTGGTCAGAAGTTCACTGCTTATCCTCAGCGCCACCTAGGACTCCACAATGAAAATGTTGTTGTTGTTACGTGCCGTCTAGTCGGTTCCAACTCATAGCGACCCTGTATAGGATTTCCAAGGAGCAGCTGGTGGGCTTGAACTATAGACCTTGAGTTTAGCAGTCCAGTCCTTATCCTATAACACCATCTCAGAACTCCAAATATACAGATGAAGGAGATGAAATATGGCAGCTTGAAGCTGACTTAGAAACTTGTGCTCTCTAAATAAAGAACTTTAAGGAATTTTAAAATTATGTGTTATATGAATTTGTTTAACAGAAAGCACTGGATTCTGCTTTTCAAGTCAAGTCAAATTATAGTCCTATTGTTAAAAAAAAAGTCCCTGGGGGAGGTGGGAGATAAGGGAAGATTGTCAAGAAAGCAGTGATTTTTTTCAAAACCCAACAATGCAGCTTGTTGTTATTAAGTACTATTGAATTGGTTCCAACTCATAGTGACCCTGTTTAGGGTTTCCAAGGAGCAGCAGGTAGATTTGAACCACCTTGTCCTGTATTCATCTCATTAGAGTCCTGGAGTCTGTCCCAAGCTTGCATACATGTTCTCTCCATATATTGATATAATATCTGCACGTTAGGTACTCGCGGTGCCACAAGGCGTAAGGACTAGAGCCTTTTTACTTCAACCACGTTTCTGGGTAATGCTTGAAAATTGAGAACTGGTCACATGAAGGGTTCCAAAACATCACCAAAGAATGGTTCCTTATGGCCCCAGCTTTGTTTCTGTTGCTTCTTCTTGCACATCAGTGTGATTCGGACCACATTAAGGATTGTTGTTGTTGTTGTTGTTAAGTGCCATCGAGTCGGTTCCGACCCATAGCGACCCTGTACGGGGTTTCCGAGGGTGTAAATCTTTACGGGAGTAGAAAGCCTCATCTTTCTCCCGCGGAGCGGCTGGTAGTTTCGAACCGCTGACCTTAAGGTTCGCAGCCCGATTCGTAACCACTACGCTACCAGAGAGCTCCTACATTAAGGATTAGGAAAGGAAAAGAACCAAAGGACTCAAGAGAGTGCCCTGAATGTAGTATCTTAAAACAGAAGAAGGCACCCAGCTACCACTGCCAGCCACTCAGCTAGGGGTCACATTTACAAGGGCCTCCATGGAGCGGGAGAACAATGTGGAACAAAACTCAAAATCACAAACAGGCCAAGCTTGCTGGCCTCTTACAGCCTGGTAGAACCCTCGAGACGGTGACCCTTAGTAGACACCCTACAAGTCTGGAACTTAACTCACCCCAGTGACTCAGCTTTTAGCCAAATAATAGCTAGACCGATAATGGTGACAATAACTTGAGTCAAACAATATATAATCTATAACTGTATCAGTATCACCAGGAGGATCAACAGCAATCATGTGAGATCACAAGAACAGCTTGTTACATTCTGAGAATTACAATCCATGTCTCAAAACAAAGTGGGTCTGAATTGTTGAATGGAAAATTAATTTGCTTTGTAAACTTTCACCCAGATCCCAGTGAAATTTAAAAAAACAACATATATATATATATATAGAGAGAGAGAGAGACAGAGAGAGAGACAGAGACAGAGAGAGACACAGAGAGAGATGGAAGACAGGTTCCCCAGCCTGTCTGCCCATGTCTCACCTGCGTCTCACCTGTATCTCACCTGTTTCTCCTGTATCTCGTCTGTGTCTCACCTGTATCTCACCTATGTGTCACCTGGGTCTCCCCACTGTCTGGCTCACCTGTGGCTCTCTGTCCCTGCAGTGGCTATGGATGCTGGGATCACTATTACGAGTCCGACACACTCTTGCATTCGTTTCAAGTCTTGGCGGCCCTTTTGGAATCTTCAGTCACTCAGGATATCATCTGTGATGTGGGCATGTAAGTGCTGAGGGGCGGAGAGGCCCAACACAGGGAGGCCTGTGGGGGGTGCTCCGGGACTCCATGAAGCCCTGCCACCCTGCAGGCAGTGTTGGGAAATTTGCAAATCTTCAAAGAGGCAAAGACCTTGTCCCCAGGTGGCACAAATAGTCAACAGGCTCAGCTGGTTTGAGGTTTGAGTCTACCCGAGGTGATTCAAAAGAAAAGCCTTGTGATTTTGATTGGCTAAAAACCATCCACTGAGAACCCTGTGGGCACAGTTCTCCTCTGATACACACACGGGGCACCATGAGTGGGATCTACGTATGAAACATCATCCACTGAGAACCCTGTGGAGCACAGTTCTACTCTGACACACACGGAACACCATGAGTGGGATCTACTTATGAAAACTCATCCACTGAGAACCCTG